AGCCTTTAGTTCTACCTCAAAAAGAAACAAAACAAACAAAAAAAAAAGAAACAATAAAGTAAAAGGTGCATTTAAAATATCATGAGGAGAGAAACTGCCATGGAAATAAATAGCGAAAATAACAAGGTGAACATCTGTGTCACAGCAACTCTGAATTCAAGTAGTGTGCACATGCCTACAGCACTTTCTCACGGCCGCCATTGGCTCGGCCTGAGGATCAGAGCTCAGGTGGTGCCCCGGTGTTGGGACAGCCAGCTCCTCCTGCTGGAATGGACGTGGAGAGATGGGGAAAGGAGGGCGGTGCAGTCTATGCAGACAGTCAGAGCCGTGCAGTTCCCACCTGGCGCCAATGGGACAAGGACACGCCAAGTTCTCTCGCCCTGCTCCCACCCATCGTGCCCGACAGGCAGCGGCCATGCCTCAGAGCTGGAAGGGGTATTGCTTCAGGTAGTCCCCCATCCGTCGGGGCAGTGGCAGCCGCTCCACCTCGGTTGTGCAGCGGTTGATGCGCAGCCGGCAGAGGTGCTGCAGGCTGGGGATGCTGTCCCGGCGGCCCAGCGGCCGGAGGAGCTTCAGGTGCACGGCCGCTACTGCCACCTCCTTCTGCACGGGGGGCAGCGGGGCCGGCGGCGGGTAGGGCGCCTCGCTCTTGCTTTCTGTCGTGCAGGACGTGACGTAGTGCTGGATGAGGCTGACCACGTCCGGGAAGGCCAGGATGCGGGGCTTGGACAAGTAGTTGGAGTCCAGGCGGAACTTGCTGTCAGCGTACTCAATGCGCACATTGGTGGGACCGCGGTTGGTCTTGACCGAGAGCGTGAACAGGTAGCTGGGATGCGTGCTGTCCCGCACCAGAAAGGTGCCCTCAGGCATCTTCTGCAGGTGCTGCTTGGCCTCGCTGGCTGTGATGGAGCCCCAGTACCAGCCTGGAAAAGCACCCGGAGAGCACTCATTAGGGACGGAGCGTGCCAGAGGGGCAGCAGTGGGCTGGGGCTGGGACGTGCAGGGCCAGAGCTGGGCCGGAGCCGCGTGCACGCCACACGGGAACACCCCAGTGCTCTTACCGGACTCCCGCAGATAGGAGAAGGTCTTTGCAATGCACAGGAGATCCTCCTCAGGGTCCCGCGTCTGAGGTGCGCTGCCATCTGGCTCCGGTGCCACAAAGGTGGGCGCAGGCTCCTGTGGGAAGGCTGGAACCGGGAGGGGCTGCATGATGTGCTCCGTCAGATCCTCCGCGATGCCGCGCAGCGACAGCCTTTGGATCTTCTCCTCTGCCAGCAAGGGGTGAGGTCTGAAACAAAGGGCACAGCGTGTTACCTCTCTTGGCCGTGAAGGGCTGCTCGGTGTGTGCTGCCTTGTGCTACAGTGTGCTGTTCTACAAGCAGACTGCAGTAACATCACATTTCACACTGAGATCAGCACATGGGAATCATAGAATCACAGCACAGTTGGGTTGGAAAGGACCTCCCAGCCATCCCAACCCCACCCCTGCCCTGGGCTGGCTGCCCCCAGCTCAGGCTGCCCAGGGCCTCTGCATGGCCTTGGGCACCTGCAGGGATGGCACCCACAGCTCTGGAAGGAAAGACATGACTGAAGATGAACGCTATGGAACAGGAGACACATCAGCCTATTTCACTATGGAAAAGGTGCTCTGTCTGCAATACAGGTTGATGCGAAAATGCCTTTGGTTTTAAATGTTGGCTTTTAATGGGTAGTTTCAGAGGCAATGAGCTTCATAGCAGCTTTCCAGCTTCATTGTTACAAGCTGGAGCGTTTCTGCATCTGTCAATGGCTCTTAGTCATTTACTGTACTATAATTAGAAGCAGAACTGGGAATTGCTTCGGTTGTGTCCTACCTGCTTTCTATTGAAACAGCCCTGATCCAAAATGTGCTGCTAGAGCTAAGGACAAGCTGCTCGGGTGGCAGAGCAATGGGAATCCCCGGTTCAGCCAAACCCCTGCACCACACAAAGCCTGGCATTCAAGGGCACACCAGGGACACTGGTGTGATCACCAGCCCCGAGTGATGACTGCAGGACACCACGGGGCTCTAAGCACCATGCCCAGGGCACAGCTCTGCTCCCCAGCGAAATCCCTGCCCTCTGTCCCACCCTTGGGCTCGCTGCCCCACTCCGTGTCACACACTGTGCCCCCACGTGCTTAAGGCGTTCAGAACAAAAGGTGAATGGGGATGTCCCTGCCCTGCAGAACCCACGGGGACTGCAGAGGTGGCAGCGCTGCTCCGGCAGCCCTGCAGGGAGGAGCTGAGGCTGTGGTGTTTCCCCTCCCCTCGGCTCCTTCTGTGCCTTAGCTGAACTATGGCCCTTCAGGGATGGACGTGGACGTGCTGTGAGGTGGCTGCTGGGGACAGGAGCGGGAAACAGAAGGGGTTGGGGAGGAAAGCAGGCTGGGCAGAGCCTGACGGCAATTCCTCCATGATTTAAGAGTGAGCACCTATCAGTGCCATGAGCCTGCACTTCTAACAACAGTGCTGTGTGGGTAACAGCTGTGTGAAACCAGTGGTAGCAATCCACGTACAAAGGGAGATGACACTTGCCCACCATCCTGCAGCTCTTTAGAAAAGAGCATTCTTCCAGCACCGTGTCAAGCAGGCGATCTGCTGCCTTGTGGGGCACGTGACTCTAGTTTCATCATTCCTATCTATGGGGGCAGCCCCTATCTCCCCCAGGCCCCGTGCACAGGGATGCTCTCTGTGCCTCGCAGCGCGCTGAGCGCTCACTGTTCCCGGTGCCGGTTGCTGGCACGTGGCTTCCCCCAGGCATCCCCCGAGCTGTGGCTGCAGGAGAAGGGGTGCCATTCCTAAAGCCCCGTGGCTGTCCTCCACTGCGTGCAGTGCTCTCCCAATCACAGTCTGCCTGCATTCCCAGGAAGGGACATTCTTTGCTCTTCCTTCCCTACAGACCAGACACTGCAATGTGCATGGTGCCTGGCCGGGAGCTACCCACATCTCTGCCACCCCACACCTGTGTGTGTGTACCGCTGCCCAATTCCAGTCCTCCCCACTAATTTCTCCTGGAAGCTTTTCTGGCCCGCCAGTTCGGACCAGGAGGAAAACTTTCTTTTGTTCCTAACATGGAACCACACTGTTGTTTTTTGTTTTTTGTTTTCTTTTCTACTCCCATCTCCTTCCCCCTGCCTTGTGCCTTTAGAAGGGAGCTCGGAGCGGCTCGCTGGGACCAAGGGGGGAGGGTTTAAATCTTCCCGGTAAGCTGCTCCATTGGGAAGATGATGGCACAGAGCAGATGTAAGCGGGGAGAGCGGCTCCGACACGGGAGGGACGGCAGAGGGACGGGGCAGCGGCCGCCGGCAGCGATGTGCGGAGCGCTGCGGGACGGTCTGCAGGGAGGCAGCCGTGGGAGCGGGGTGTACGGGCACGGAGCGCTCGGCCCTGCGTGGGGACGGGGAGGAATGCTTGGAAATAAGCGCTTGTAGGAAAGAAAGCGGGGAGAGGAACGCGGGGATCAGGGCGCGTGGCGGGCACGAGTGCTGCGCCGGGAGGAAAACAAATGTAGAAAAGTAGCGTATGGGGACCGGAGAGGAGCGGCGACGGAACGTCTCCGTGCGCCGGCCCTGAGCCTGTCCCAGTGTCCTGGGAAGGAGAGTTCAGAGAACAGATCCTCCACTCAAGGCTGCGGTCGGCTCTGCAGTTACTTCTCTACTCGGTGAAACTCGGGAAGACGGGGCGACGCAGCGCGGGGACGGACTGCGGGGCCGCCGGGCGGATCAGGGCTGCGGGATCCGGGCGGCACCGGGGTACTGAGCGCGGGGAGCTGCGGTGCGCCGGGGGGTTTCCGGTGCGGGTGCTCCGGGCTGAGCTGTGAATGCGCTTTGCCGGGGCGGTGGGAGCCGCAGCGCCTCACTGAGAGAAAAGAGGAACGAGGGGAGAGCCGGGGAGGCAGCGTGGAGGTGTCGGTAAGCGAGAGCTCCGCCGGCCCTCGGAGCAGAGCGCTGGGAAAGCGTGAGTGGGGCACGGGGAGTGGAGAGCGAGCGCTGCCCCGGGGCCTCCGCGCCCACCCGTCCCCGCCGGCTGACCGCGCTGCGTGAGGGCGCGTCCCAACCGCGCGGCACAGAAAGGCAGTGGGGAAGGAAGGCGCAGCATTTCGGCACGGCGATGTTCTCAGCGGCGCAGGACGCTCCGGGGCTGCAGTGCTCCCGGTGCGGAGCGGGTCCCGCCGGTGCCCCGCGGCCTCTTTGTACCGAGTTGTCCAACCCTCCCCGTCCCCCCAGCCCCGACCCCGAAGCAGCGAACCCCGCGCGGTTCTCAGCAGCGGAAAGCGAGGAACTCGGGACCGCACTTACCCCGGGACGCAGAGGATCATGTCACTCCCGGGCCAGGGGAAGAGCATCAGGGCCTCGGCAGGGGCAGCGCCCGTCCTCCCCGCTGTGCCCGGCCGCGCTGTGCCCCGTCCCGCACTCCGGAGGCGGCGGCGGAGCGGTGCGGCGCGGTCCGCTCTCAGAAAGAAGCGTTCGGGGCGCTCGGCGTCAATAATAAATAGACGTGAAGGAATAAATACGGTCCCCGCGAGCGCTGGGGAAAGACTCGCGTCTCGGCCCGGGCTGCACAAGTACTGGGGCTCGGCGAGAAAAAAAACCCACTAAGTAATCTTTTGTTTGCCCCTTTTAATCTGTTCCAGGAAGCGAGGGATTCCTGGAATCGCATTGTATTCGCATCACTCTTCCGATAGCAGCCACGCGAGGAGAAAGAAAAAAAAGCGGCAGGTATAAATAGCGGCGCGGCGCCGTGATGTCAGCGCGGGGCCGGGCGGGGCCGCTCGGGGCGTTGGGCGCTCGGCTCGGCTCGGCTCGGCTCGGCTCGGCTCGGCTCGGCTCGGCTCGGCCGGGCCAGGCCACGCCAGGCCAGGCCAGGCTCGGCTCGGCTCGGCTCGGCCCGGCTTGGAGCCTCGCGGCGGCGCTCGGCGCGCTTCGCGGAAACGCCTTTGATCCATTTCCAAGAACTTTCCAGGAACGCGGGGCCGCCGCGCCCGACGCTGCCAATGGGCGCCGCCGCCGCCGCCCGCCGCATGCGCGGGGCTCCGCCCGGACCGAGCGCTGCGATCCCCGCTGTGTCCCGCGTGGCGGTGCGGCTATGCCGGGGCTGCTCCGAAAGTAATGCCTCTTATTTCATTCTATCGGCCCGCGGCAGCGTAGGCGGATGGCGGTGGGATGGAGGTAGAGGTTGAACCTTTCCGCCGATATCCCGTGACGTTTCGTTGCCCTATGACAGATGGCAGCGGAGAGGCAGTCTGACAAAATAGCTTCGTGACATGGAAGGGTGTAGGGAGCGGAGGGACGGGGCTGAATGTCTCCACGCAGAAAAAATTAGCAACCATTGACATCCGTCAACTTTGATGGAGCACAGTGGTCACCTCTGCTGGTGCAGGTTGTTACCATGCAGACTGCTGATCATCGCCGATGAAAATGCATAGCTGACGATGGTGGCTATGTTGAAATAATTGTGTTTTGTAGCTGAGAAGCTGTTAAATAGCATTATTGTGTTCGTTATTTGTTTTCTTTTCCACAAAAATAAATAGGAGGCATTACTTTCGGAGCGACCTAAAATAAGCACTCAGAGCGGCCCGCATCTATCGTCTTTTTCCCAGTCAAAGCCGGGCGATGCAGACCTCACGGCCTTCCGGGCCTATCAAAGCCTTTATTTTTCAACACATCGGCTCCATCCTCCTCCTGCCCCCGGCGCCCCCGCCTACCGGAGGCGAAGGGCCGCAGGGCGGCTGCCGGGCACCGGGGGCAGCAGAACCGTGGCGGGCCGGGCCGGGCCCAGGGCGGCTGCCGCAGACGAAACGTCCGGCGCCGGCACGGAGTCGCGCTCATCCGTCCTTCCGCGTGCGGTGCCGGCACGGGCTGCGGGGAGCGGAGGGTCCCCTCGTACGTAACGCGGCCTCTTCTACAACCTCGTGCCGAGCTGCAGCACCGCGCTGCGCTCCGAGCCGTCGGTCTGCGCGTGGGGCCGCGCCCGGCGTCTGTGCGTCCAACCGGCGGAATCGGGCTCCACCTGGCGACGTCCTCCGGCCTTCGGGCGCGGGCGGCGCTGCGGGCGGAGGGGCAGAGCTGCGGGGCAGCGCGGTGTCCCCGCGTTGGGCGGCGGCTTTGCGCGGCCGTCCCCGGGCGCTCTGCGGCACTGCAGCACCACCCGCTGGGCTGCCGCTCCCCGGGGCTCACGGCCGCCGCTCTGCCCCTGCGCTGGGATCTCTTTCGGTGAGAGATTACTTCACTCTGCTCTGCTGCAGCAGAAAATGAAGCACCATCTCCTGGCGACAGATGGGAGGATTTATGATGCTTTTGATTCGTGATACTTCTAAGGAAAAGCAAAAACAAAAACACTTTACTTTTCTTCTCTCTACTGAAATGGGAACCATCATAGAATGGCCTGGGTTGGAAGGGACCTCAGGGATCATCAAGTTCCAACCCCTCTGCTGCAGGCAGGACCCCAAGCCTCCAGATCTAATACTAGAGCAGGGTGCCCAGGGCCCCATCCAAACCACCCACATGGCACCCCTCTGGAGGTCCTGGTAGCCTGAAACACCCCCAGTCAGTGCATGTAACACAGCTGCTGGCATTCAGTGCAGCTCTCAGACCCACTGCATCTCCCTGCAGTGCTGTGAGGATGGAGTGCTGAAGGCCCCCAGGCATCAGGGCACAGTGTGGTGTAGGATACAGGTGGCCTCAATACAGCAGTGGGTTCAGGGCCGGGATTCGTAACTTATAGAAAAAAATATCATGACTTCCTCTCTTTTCCTTCCTCTTTATTTTTTTTTCTGTTTGTTTTGCTTCGCTGAGTCTGAGTCAGACACCTGCAGAGCAGAACTGAAGGACAGGTACATGGGCCGCATTACAGAGTGCAGCACACACTGCAGCCCAACCTAGAGGTCATACAGCAGCTTCCATTTCCTGCTGTGCATCACCAGAGCGTCCTGCAGAGCTTCCCTTCCTGCCATGGCACAGACACAGTGCTTTCTGAAGAACTTCCTCAGAAATGCAGAAAGGATGCCGCGGCCTCTCAGTTCCGTGCCCACTTCCAGGCTGACAGCACAGAACAGCCTCTGCCCAGGGCCATCTGTGTAATGCACCAGGGGAGCAATGTTTCAGAAGAACACATCACTGCATTTTCAGTTGCTGGTGGCATTTTCTTTATTGCAGTTATGTATAATCACAGAATATTAAGATGCAATAATAAAAAAATAAACAAGAGAGTTAGGCAAAGCAAGACAAAGAGAAGAGATAGGATGCTTACCCGTATCCTGGGCTCACTCAGGAAACTCCAGCAGAGTGGATCTCCAGAAGAGATCCTTCCCCACTGGTAGTCAGCTCTTAAATGGGTCTAGGAGAGGTGGAGCCAGGCTCCACCCCTTCCTGCAGCACAGGTGAATTGCTTTCACCTGTGCTCCCCTGGTTGACTCATTGCTCGCCTCAGGTGATCAATCAGAGGTTCAGGCGATGACTCAGCAGTTCCCATACACTCCACCCCTCCACGGCATGAACCAATGATCAGGTTGATTAAAGGGTAAGTTTTTCCTAATACAGAGACCCACTATATCACGACGCTTATATACTTTCCATCGCAACACGTGTTGGTACAATTCAAGACAAGTGACGATTGGGGAACACTGATACTCTTTTATGGGTCGGTGCTTGATGTTACAGGAGGCATGCCGTCATGAGGTGCAGGTCCATCTTATGTTCCATCAGTCTCATGTAGGCCATCACCGGGTGTTGCACATGATCTGACTGTAACACTGGAATGCTTTGATGGCATTTCATTCCTTCCAGTGATCCGGAAGGCTCAAAGACTCACAGGGAGTCATACAGATGTTTCAGGGGTACCAGGAGGGGAAGGTCTGCTCTCCAGGGCAAGATACAGGCCGTCTTTCTATCCTGGGTCAACACTTCTGCTTGTACTGGGGCATGTCCCGGCCGCCTGTACCACACCTTCTGGCCAGATGTCTGTGGCTGCATAACTATGTCAGGCACCAAAGGAGGTGTCCTGATCTGCCACAGGGACATGATGGGCATCCCTTTAGCAATGAAGATCAGAGTGTTGACCACAATATCAGTAGGCCATGCACCTATTACTGGAGGAACAACTGAGCCTCCCACCTCCAACAGTCTCCCCCAGGGTGCGAGTAGGCCACACCACTTGGGTCCTACCTGCACCTCCCACGGCCATTTTATTCTATGGGTGCCTGGTTCTAAGTTCCCAGGGGCAGAGCAGATGATTTTCATTACCAATCTGGGATCTTACCTGATGATCAGTGCCCGTAATTTGGATCCTAAGCAGGGTGGCCCATGTTGTCTGCAGCATTCTCAGGGCACTGGGTCTGCCGTCTCAGGGTCTTTCATTCAGGTCCCGCAAGGTTTCATACAGTCTTCTCGTCCACCCCTACAGGGACTGGGAGCCTGTCTTCAGGGCTGCCTTAAGAACACCATTATAACGTTCAATGAGGCCTGCCCCCGTTGGATTATATGGCAGGTGGAATCGCCATTCGATGTTGTTTTCTTCTGCCCAGTGCTGTATCGTTGCACCAGTAAAATGAGTCCCTTGGTCGCTCTCGATGACTTGAGGTGTCCCGTAGGCAGACATCAGTTTAGTCAGTGCCTTGGTGGTATATGCCTGGTTTGCTTTTGGCACTGGATAGGCCTGCAGTAGCCCACTTGCAGCATTGACACAGGTCAGGGCATATCTCACCCCCTCAGACTGAGGAAGGGGCCCAATGTAATCGACCTGCCATCATCTCTGGAGAGGATTGTATCCTCTAGCAAGATGGGCTGTGGTTTCAGGCAACGATCTTGGTCTCATCTTGAGCAAGCGATCTTGGTCTCATCTTGAGCAAGCATCGCAATCCTGGCATGCCTGGATGGTGTCAGGTAGTTGTATGGGCAGCCCCCATGCTTTAGCAGCTGCCCACATTTCTTTTGTCCTGCATGCCGTAGCTTCTGATGTAACCAATAGGCGATGTTCTCAGACAGTGAATTCTCAATCCATCGAACTCAGGCCAGAGTATCAGCTTCATCATTTCCCAGTAACTGTAGGGGCTGATGACCAGAAACATGGTAGACACATATAGTCCTGTGTTTGACTGTGTTCCATATGTCTAACGACATGTCTTTGCCCCAGATTGGTCGGGCATGGATAGTCCATTCCTGGGTGGCCCACTGTGCAATCCAAAGA